ATGTGCTGTAATTTTGTTCTTTAAATGAATTTTTGAACATTAGAACAATTTTTCCCTGCAAAGGTATTCCAGAAAACAAATATTAGTAAACGAAGTAATAAACCGTTTTATAATAATTTGTAAATCGCGTTAAAAAATAAATATCTATGATATGTTGAATGTTCTTTGACAATTATATTTATTAAGGTTATTTTGAAGCGTTACTGTTAAACTAAATTAAGAGTGATTGCTGAAAAATGTTCAATATTTTAATAGATTCGAGTTTGTAAATATGGAAGTGATATAAATTATTTTTTAGGACTTTTAAATTCGATACATATTTATTTATTTTTTCAAATAATAAACTGTTCGATTAAAAAAAATAGCTTCTATTTAATATATTTTTTTTATTTCAATCAGATTTTTAATAAATTATCATTTGAATATACATAATTACCTAAAATAACTCTACTCTCCGGGCAAGCCCTTCGACTTCACTCGTATATTCTTCGGGTACTTACGTGTAATCTGCGGTTTGATGTTAGTTTTATTTCATAGATTAGGAAGGTAGAGATTTGTTATTCCTTGTACTTCACGACTTGGTTGTTTGTAAGTTCTAGGTTAGGGTTAGTATAGTGGTTTAGGTAAGTTTTTAATGTTTAATAGTTTGGAGTAAAGCAAAATGGCAAGCCGAAAATAGCGAATTGGTGAGTAGCAATGGTGATATTATTAATTTTTTATTAAATAAAAAATTTTGTATGTTAACTTTCGATGATAAATTATTTATTTCAAAATTAAAACCTACGCCTGACATGAAAAATTTAATAAATAAAAACAATTGCGGAAGTAACAGATCATTTAGTAAAAATTGGTACAATAAATATGAGTGGTTAACAGGTAGTGAAACTAGAAACAAATTATATTGTTGGAATTGCTTACAGTTTAATGAAAAAAGTAAAACTCCATGGAATTATCTAGGATATTCAGATCTGAAACATATAAATGAATCTCTAAAAAAACACGAGCGATCGGAGGAGCATACATATTCAACATTAAAATTTAAATTATTAGGAAAACAAAACATTCAAACTTTTCTTGATTCTGCATTTCGTGAGAATATTTTAAACCATAATAAAGTCGTGGACGAAAATAGAGACATTGTAAAGCGCCTTATTGATTTGGTTATTTACTTATTTACTTATTTATTTATTTATTTATTTATTTATTTATTTACTTATTAGAATTTTAGTATAATTTATCGTTAGTAATTTCAGCTATAAAAGTGATAGAGAATTTTACTATTTGTTTAGAGAATTATATAATTTTTTATATGTCCTTCTATGCCATAATCCTTGCCTTATCCCCTATCCCGGCAAGAAATCACTGTGATGACATTCTCGTTTGTTCTTGCTGAACTATTAGGTATACTTTTGGAATAACTAATATAATTTTCAGGTATATTTATATTAATTATCTTCATAATTCTTAAGTTTTTTACACTTTCAAAAGTGAATAGACTAACGTAGATTGCAAATATTATATGATATTAAGTTACATGAGAAAAAAAAATTTTGCCCACCCATCTCAAAAAGTCACGAGCCGCCACTGACCTTACCAGACTCTTGGGTATACAGTGGACCTTCTTGAATAACCCGAGGATTGTCCCTGCTCCAAATTCGATGGTTTTGATTGTTCACATACCCACTAAGATGAAAATGTGCCTTGTCGCTAAAGATGATTTTCATAGCAATCGCCGTCCACTTGTTGATTCTCCAACATCCAATCAAGGAATGGATTAAATGGTCATCTGGTTTCAATTCCTGGGTTAGCTGAATCTTAAATGTATGCAGATTCAATATTTTGTTAAAATCCGCTGCATTGTGCTTTTTGAAATGTTTTTTTTATTGTCTGCAACTGAACCTGTTTATTCAAATTTGGTAACTAATCTATTCATAGTTGTTTCATTCGGGGAGTTCCTTCTACCGAAAATTCCACGTAATTTGCGCACAGTCTCAGCTACACACTCTCCGTACTTGTAATGAATTATCACAATCCTCACTCGCTCATCCGTCGTATAGCACACCATTTTGTCTAATTTCAACCTGTTTACTACATCATGTAGCCCTACACAATGCTGCCAACTCTTCGGAATAAAAATGGCGCACAATTATAATCCTGCGTCACTTTTGGTACATCCTTTTTGAATAAATTGCAAAAACTACAGACTATAGGCATAAATGTATGTTTATAGATTATTCAGAAAGTATAGCATAATCTACATTAGTGGCTAGTGCTCTTATTATTGAAACAAAATTAGCCAGTAGACATTGATTTTTTAACTTGACCAAGTCGACAGTTGTTAGGATTCTTGACAATAATGTAATCGTCACTCAGAAATATATTCTATGTAAAAGAAATTAAAGGAATAATATGAAGGGTAATTTTATTCGCATAAAATTTCAAAACTTCCTTATTTTGCCACTAAAACAAAATATTTTCTCTTTCTTTCGATTTATAAAAACTTATTTTAAGAGTTATAAGTTAAGATACATGGCTATCATTATAAAACGATATGGTAATGCATATACAGGGATGGCCAAAAGTACGGAATAAAATTCATATCTTTTGAATGAGTTAATTTTTTTTAAACGCCGAAACACGTTAACTGATTTTGATTTTTTCCCATCTTTCGGTTATATAATAATTAATTTTTCTTCAACCCCCTAACCTCTAGCTACCACTACTTTTTTTTCAAATGGAAACATAACGCATGAGGGGGCTCGTTGAAAAGCTTATAGAAAACCGAATCCAGCTATACCAAATAAACAAGTTTTATTTTTTCAATAACCATTGGCATTCTTCAAGACGATAGTAAAAGCTGTCCACAGCATTCTGAGTGACTTCAGCTGGTAAATTATGCATCTCCGCCCTAATCTTGTTCTTTAAATTCTCAATATTATCCGTTCTGTCCTGGTAGACTCTTTTTTTCAAATATCCCCAAAGAAAATAATCCAGGGGTGTTAAGTCGGGGGATCTTGGCGGCCATTCAACTGTACCCCGTCTACCAATCCAGCGATTTGGAAACATTTCATCTAAGTATCTTCGAACATCAATACCAAAATGTGGGGGAGCGCCATCTTGTTGGAACCAAATTCTTTCATTCGGTATATCTGGATCAATTTCATGAGGGAAAATCACAGCTAGAGCAGGTATCAGGTCAAATGTTAGGAAATCCAGGTAGCGTGCGGCAGTAAGATTTTCTTCAAAAAAGAATGGGCCCAAGATTCTGTTGTTGATGATACCTGCCCATACATTAACTTTTTGTGGATGCTGCGTATGCGATTCGCATGTCCAGTGTGGATTTTCCTGGGACCAAAAGCGATAGTTGTGCCTGTTAACCACTCCATTTAAATAAAACGTAGCTTCATCCGAAAAAAGTACGTCTCGTTGAAAACCATTATTGTCGTCACACCGTCTCATCATTTCCTCACAAAATTGTAATCGCCTATCATAATCGTCTTCCAAAAGCTCTTGGACAAGACATACCTTATAGGGGTGGTATTTCTCTTGTTTCAGAAACATTCGAATTGCAGTTCGAGAAGCATCGTGATTGCGGGCCAATGAAACAGTTGAAGTATGAGGATTTTCAACAAGTTCTAATGCAATGTCTAATTTCTTTTCTTCATTCAAAGCACGTGCCCGTCCAGTTTTGGGCAAAGTCTGTACTGTACCGTGTTCCTCAAATTTGTGAAATATTTTACTAACTGTCCCTTGCGAGATTTGGTTTTCGGGATATTTCGCATTAAATAAATCGCGCACTTCAGCCTGACTTCTTATTTTGTCTCCACATCCAAGCAATATCAAGATTTCGATGCGTTGCCTTTCCGACAATACCATTGCAATTCAGTAAATAACTTGATTTTGACACAATAGTAACGTTTCGAACTCCAATTTACAACTAAAGCGAAAAATTAACCAGAAAGCCTGGCAAGTAAGTGGTGCCAAAAAAACGCAACATAAAAAATATATCTTTTTTGCGTTAGCAGTGATAGGTACAGTTTCAAATTCTTTATTTTATTCTGTGCAAATTCATGGAGGATAACACTGAAGATAATTAAATTTTATTTCACTTGTTAAGTAGGTGTTTTATACAACCCTAAAAACCTTGCTATTGAAAAAATAAAACTTGTTTATTTGGTATGGCTGGATTCGGTTTTCTATAAGCTTTTCAACGAGCCCCCTCATGCCTTATGTTTCCATTTGAAAAAAAAAGTAGGGGTAGCTGGGGGTTAGGAGGTTGAAGAAAAATTAATTATTATATAACCGAAAGATGGGAAAAAATCAAAATCAGTTAACGTGTTTCGACGTTTTAAAAAAAATAACTCATTCAAAAGATATGAATTTTATTCCGTACTTTTGGCCATCCCAGTATGTAGGATAACTGAAAAATAAGAACAACAACTCAGGAACAAGAAAAGTTTTGGATTGGCTTAAACCATTTCTTAAAAAAACAATAATAAATGAAGTTAGTAGGTAATTGGTTATAATTGGTCAAATGAATATTTTTTTGAAAATCAAAAACGTCAAATTATAATTTTCAAAGAATGGCCCACAAAAGATGTTTGGAACTGTTATTTATTAGGGGTTTAGAATAGGTTAGTATTAGGCAAAAAAAAAATTCGAGTCGCCTTTTTTGTCTAACTACGCCACTGGCGACAGATAAAAATTGACTTTATACTAAAAATGCAACTCTTTACCAACGTACAATAACTGCCAAATTTTAAGAACATAATACTGACTGTTCCAAATTTAATTCAAATACCTATTGATATATTTGTTTTAATTTTCAACACCCTGTATCTCGGAATCTAATCTTCTGCAGTTATGGACCGTACTTAGGAAACACCCAGTATAACAAATTAGTAACAGAAAACTTGCAAATTAAATTAAACGTAAAATAATTAACTGATACAATTTTAATTTAATTTAAAAGAAGCATTATTTTTCGAGTACTCACTCACCATTATCAGTTGTTTGTTATTAAATTCCGATAGAAGAGCACCGGTAATCTTGCACAATTCAGTCATGAAATACTTAAATATATTATTCTCCATGATATCACAAGCACCCCGATTAAATATCCAAAGACTGAGTACGGTCTTAGCTAAATTGTTAGGATCCAGTCCGATTTCTCTGAAATTTACAGTGGACAAGGCTCTAAAATTTTCAACCTAAAATAAAAAATGAATTGTTACACTGTGAAGTTATACAGAATATACCTGAGGTATATAAAAACCAGAAACGCATTTTTGAGTCCGATTTTCGACTGTCAAAAATTTAATATCTTCATTTATTTTCGTGGTACAGCAATATTCTTTTTTTTTTGACATTTCTATAAATGAGTTTATGCAAAAAGAAGGAGATAATGCCAATTTTCCACTCCTCACGGACAATAGCCTAAATTAACTTAAAAACTGGGAACAATCTCAAGAATTATTCTTTATATCAGTTCAGTCATATCGAGTTCAGTTTTGTTTTAATAATATAATAATTCCCGAACCTAAGTCATCCAATTTTTGAATCTTGCCAAACCTTGGAAAATGTTTCTAAGAAGTTTCTTCGCCATATCACAATTTTGTTCTTTTCTATTAGCATACTTCGGGAAAATCTAGGCAAATTTTCATCTTATGTCATTGCAGGTTGTACCATGATGTGTAATGTTAGTTCGTTTTTAAAATATCGCATGTTTAACGTCATTGAGGGTTTAAATTTTTTTCTTCCACATGCTTCGCTTTTTGCTTTATTACACTTTCGTCACTTTTTAACTCAAGATACCGAAGCATCTTTATACTCTTTATTAAGGTATTAAGCTAATTCAAAGACAGGATGTCCTATCAAATTAAGTCAAACAACATTCTTCGACACCAGAAATATAGGTACGCAAAAGACATCAAACCTCGCAGACAAGATTGCTAATTGCACGTACTGCGGGAAACAACTACTGGTATTAAAGAATGTTGTTTGACTTCATTGGATAGGATTTATTTGAATTAGCTTAATACCAAATTATTTTTATATATTTATGAAAAAAATCAAGATAAGCACTTTCGATTGTTATTAAGAAACTGCACAATTCCAAGGCATCACTCACCGACATAGTTGAGTTACGTGCTCGAATTTTCTTATCACACTGTTTGTTATGCAACGTTCTTCATCTATTAATATCCGCACAAGATTTCATTTTCATTATTAACACGCTTATTAGAATAACTTGTACGCACGGACACGCTGAAAATTAAGGCAGGGCGAGATTTCAAGAAATAAGAAGTTGAACCCTGCAGTGGCAGTCGTCTTTTTGTTAGACGATAGAAAAATAGAAATAGGCGTATGTAACAATGGAATATTCCAAATGCGCCCACAGGCTAATCATACAGAGCCTTATAAATGATTACAAGCCACGTGACCATACTGTTTGAAACAGAAATTTTGTTTCTCTCACGTTGGTAAATCAATTTCACCAAAATTAAAACAGTAAGATCGAGATTACATTAAAACACAATATTTTGTTTCATCGGCTGTGATTGGTGTAATTTTTCAAGAGATTCTATTCAACCAATTAGAGATGGCATTATCTCGAGAGTCGTCATAACGGTTTGTTCATTGGAAACGAATCATTAATATTGATGACGCCATGATTTAAAGAATTTTCGTAACCAGTACCAACCGTGCAATGTTGCGTTGCCTAAGCTCAGCGGTCAGGTTTAAACATTTATGAAGGCTCTGTATTATCGTAATAACATGTGAAAAATTTTGGGACCAGAGTTTAGTTTAATTCTAATGTTCTAAATAAGTTTAGCGGTAAAGTGCATCATAGGTAGTCAAAAATGTCAAGTAAATGAATATCGATCTGTAATTACAAAATAAATGAAGCTATCAAATTTCTGATTTGACAGATGAATTTGTCTTGTCGATTCAAGAGTTTATTAGGTACACATTTTTCCCTTTCTCTAATAGTTTCTGAAATACCTACCATGAATTTCTATCGAAAACTGTCCACTTTTATTATTTAAATTTCAAATTTGTTGCAGACTTACAAGATAAGGTTGTTTGTTCAAAATGTAGTAAATATACAGGGTGTCCCAGTGTCAGCGTACAAAAATGTACCAGGGGGTAGACCAGATCAAAATAAGATTAAAATTCTTATTAAATATTTTTCTGCGATGCACTCTCACTGAGTTACACGGTGTTGTTTAGAAATGACATGCAAAAGTTATGAAGACATAACCTTGAGGACAAGTTGACCTAGGCCGCCCCTGGCGTCAGATCGAAATAAGCACCATGTAGTTTTAATGACCTTTAATAGATGTACACTTCACCCAAAAATTACTTAAATTCCTGAAAGGGTTTTTGAGTTATTTCGGAAAGTTGTTATTATTTTTTTCTAAACAACACCCTGTAACTCGATGAAAGTGAATCGTAGAAAAATATTTTATAAGAATTTTAATCTTATTTTGGTCTGATCTACCCCCTGGTAAATTTTTGTACGCTGACACTGGGACACCCTGTATAGTCAACTTACAATGAAAACAATGTCCGTGAAATTCATGTTTCCTTTTCCTATTGCTTCTATCTTCTCCACAGTAGCCATGCAGATCCCTTCGATAGACAATCTTTGTTGAACTGGAAATTTCGTGAAATGGATTGTTCTCCAACAATCCATAGACCGTACTGGATTATATCGTAACACAAAATCATTCTTAGTGTAATTAGGCAACATTTTGAAGATTCTTTGTATGAAACATTTCAAGTATATTCGTTCCGGTCGATGCGTGAGGACTCCGAAGTTTATTTCCTGATACTTTTGGATGAGGTTGATCAAGGTCGATAAACAAAGTTGTGGAGTCGAGTTACTGAAGAAAACAAAAGTCAAAAAACGGGATGATATTATATTTTATAATTAAATGTCATAACAGGAAAAAATGATTAAGTTATTTTGGTAATTTAGAGAAAATTTAGAAGAAAACTTTTAGATAAAATTCAGAAATCTGAAAGACAAACTCATTTTAACATTTGAAATTAATTCGTGGGTTAACCAGAAATATAGTACGAAGAAAATACGCAAAAATAAAGTAAGACGTCAGTGTTAATTACTTAGCTACATGTGCAGTTATTTTACAACAATTAATGTGAACAGTTTTATAAAAAAACACAAAAATCTTGTGCTTGGTTGAAGTGAAAGTTTTTTATTGATACAAAGTTATGAATAAATCTTCTGTAGGATTGTTGTAAGGATATTAAAAAAGAAAATGCAAAATTTAAGTTGTTTCGAATAAGACTATTGTATATAGGGTCCAACCAAAAAATATTCTTTTTCAGAATACCCGATTACATAATTATGACGTCATTGACAATTATTTTCCACCGACAAATATTTTGACTATAAAATAAAATGGATTTTTAACATTTTTTACTATCTCCATCCGGTTAGAAGTTACACAGAAATATTCTTTAAAAAATAAATATGAAAAGTCGTATTAGATTAAATCGAACAAATAAATACACCATATGTATTTTATCAAATGTCAATTATTTTAGGGCTTAAATTGCCACTTAAATGTCAAACAATTGCTTAAGTTAGCAACGGTAAAACATTTTTAATACTTTTCGCGTAAAATGGACCCTGTTTCGTCCCATTTGACACCCCATGTAAAAATTTTCATAACGTATAACATAGGTAAATAATACATAATCTGCTAAGTTGGTGACTGCAGCAAATAGTAATATTGTCAAACTTTTTAAAACCTTTAAAAATCGTATAGTACTTAGAGCCTTTAAAAATTACTCTAGTTTTTTTTTTCATTTTGACGAGAGGATTCAGTCCTTAATGTTTGTAGTATAAACATATACTAATTTTGATATTGTTGTGGATATTTTACCAACTGGAAACGTAATATTTTTCCACACCTTATTGTTTTCTGTTAGATACATAATATACTCGTATTAGGTAATGCTAATTATGTTAATTGATAACATAAGCAAATGTGAAAAAAATTACTTCATTACTTCAATGTCACAATATCTAAATGGACATATAAAAAAATACTGGTACTTGGTAAATCTCTACCATTCATATATTTAAAACAAATGCCTACATTTTCTTTTAAATAAAATATCATATTCTCAAAATTTTAAATGATACAAAAAATGTCTTTTATATATAAAAATCATATATGAAATAATTCTATTAAAAATATACGTATTTCAATTAAAATTATTTCTTAAATCCTATTTTTTTTTTAACTGCATTTCGTACATTAAATTGTAATAGTCTGAAATCTAAAGTTGGACTTAAATGAATGGTCGACTTGGCAATTATTTGCAATTGCGTAGGTATACTTGCCACGCCGTAGGAGTGATTTACTAATTTAGACTAGTCACTTAACTAAATACTAAATAAAGGTAAAAACACATTGATTGACATATAATTATGTCAACCAGTTATATAAATTTAGATTTACATTAAATCAAATATCTACGAAAATGTTTAATACAAACTGATGAAATTTAGGCCAGTGATTTCACTAAGTCAACTAAAAAGTCACGTACGACAAACTAGAGCTTTGTTTTGGTTCTCTATTTCTGAACAGTCCAAAATCATCGCAGAACTATAGACGCAATAGACAAAATTCTGAACGATTCGGAACTATCCGGAGTTATTTGAAAACCAGAACGCATTACAAAAATATACTCATAAAACCCAATAAAAAGATACTTTTCTTAAACGAAAAACAGGAAATGATGGAAATGGAAAAAATTATGAATGACAAACGGAGTTTGTAAAAATGGGTATAACTACGCATACGCCAAATAATACAGTTCTAAGCAATTCGTGCTAGAGAGCTAGAACTACTTCGGATGGTTCAGAATGGTTCCGAATCAAGTTCAAATAAAACCAAAACAAACATCTGCGAAATTCTGAACCGTTCAAAGTAAACACCAACGCATATTTTAGACTGCGCATGATTAGAACCGTTCGGAACCGAATTTTATGGGAATCAAAACAAAGCATAGATCTCAGAATTTCAACGCCACTAAGTATTTTGAAAATTCGATCAGTGCATTTGATTTCAAATTATACTTAGAAAAAGAAAAAAGATAACACAAATGCGCATCGCTGACTAAATACAAAGAACCTTTCATTAAGAAATTTCATTTTAAATCTCACGCAATTTTTTTGCCTGTGACAGATGGAGCTGTCGTATTTAGTTATTCGCTGTGAGCAAGTAGGTAGAGGGGATAGTCAAACATTTGCGAGCGCTAGTAGCGTCAACTTAGTGAACTTAGGTCGGAAATTTAAAAACCTTCTGCATAAGGATATTTTTAAATGGGACACACAAGTTGTTGTATCAAAGATTATAAAATTACAATTACGGTTACAATAGTGACTGTGTATTTTACAAATTCCCTAAAGCTACTCATAAACTGGGTCAACGACAAAAATGGATTGCAATTAGAAAAAAGTAAGTAAATATAACATTCAATTTTAAAATAGACATTGATTGAAAATGTAAGTTGTGATATGTGGATCAAAATTAATGTTTAAAATCTATCTAAATAATAATTAAAATGTTATGTTGTTGTAGGTAGAGCATTTAATCATGGGCCAGGATGGTTACCTAAAAAAAGTCATGTAATTTGTAGTAGTCATTTGATCACAGTTTGAGATGAAATACTCATTTTTCCAAAACTAGAAAAATAAATAAATAAATAAAAAACATTGCTATTTAGACCATATTTTTAATAATTTCTTTATTTATTGCAAGTATAATTAAATTTTGGAGGGAAAATTCTCCTATTCTAATAATCGCAGTCAACATAATCACAAAATGAAGTGCAAAATCTTAAAAATAATAATTATAATGAATAAAATAGTTTACTTACTGATATTATTCATAGATTACGATCTAATAACTTTTTGTTACGTTAATTAAATAAAAAGTATTAACTATCATTTGTATTTGGCATATACACTTTCAGTCACTATGTCACTTTAAATTTCCGACAGAAGTTGTAGCTATAAAACCGCTAGGTTGCGATACCAGCGAAGCTCACAGCGAATAAACGAGATCAATAAAAATGGATGGATATTCCTTTGAGCAACGCTTAGTAGTGTGATGTCTATTTCAAATACTCTTACTAATCCTAGCAGGGAGTGATATCATATGCTTAAATGGGAAATATAAGACGCACAAAACAAGTACTATTTTAGAGCTAAAAATATACATTTGATCATCAAATAGCAAACTGTCTTAGCAGTAGTAGGGAGTATTTTTCTTTATGTTTTATGTATCAAGTGAAATAAACATTCCAAAGACAACAATTAGCAGGGCTTTAAAGAAAAATAAATATCACTCGTACCAGCCAATCATTGCGCAGTGGCTCCAGGAAAACGATTTTATTCGAAGGCTTGAATTTTGTAATTGGAACGTTAATAAATGCCAAAATGATAACTTCAGCAGCGCCGTTATATAGCACGGTGCTCCTGAGCGAATTTAAATGAAATTTTCTGGTCACTCCAAAATAATAAGATATCCTGTTTCTACAATACTTGAACATCATTTTAAGCCCTGAACCAAAATATTTGGTGTGGCGCTTTTTTTTCCGATGACACAATAAGAAATTTGATATTTTTCATGTAGGTGATTATAAAAATTTTACTTCAAAAATCAAAAAGAGAGTTGTAAGTTATTTTAACAAAGTGAAAACTATTACTCCAGCATATATATTAAATGTTTTATTCTTTTATATACACAAAATAAAAAGTAGATTTATTATAATGGTACAAACATAATTTATATCAAAATTAATAATTCAATCGTATAGAATTACAATCAATTTTCAATCAATCAGTTGAATAAATGATTCAGTGTATTTTTACACGCAACTAATAGATGACACGGTTATACATGAGAGGCATTGTAATCGCATAAAGCACGTAATAATTTCATAGAATATTCAGGGTGAACGTTTGATGCTTTGTATCGATCCCATATTTTTGAAAAATCCGAATGTGCGGATTCTGTAGCTTGTTCGCTGAACTAATCCTCTGTTTTTCCAAACAAAAATCTTTAACATGGAAAAAATTGAATACACGTTATTCGGACATATGACAAAAGTGAACGAAGAAGTACAATGGGCAAATAAATGCAACGTTCAGCGCCAATGTACTTATGGAAGCCCAACATTTGCAGGAAATGCTTGCTAAACATTGCTTAAAAATGTTGACATTTTGGCCAATTTCAAGTGTTTAAATTGTGCTAAGTTTGTTGATTGTTTCATAAAGTTGTTAACAGCTGTTTTTCATTGGAACTTAATGAAAAGTTTGTAAGTCATATTGATGAATTCAGGAAAAGTTATATGAACTTTGATATAGCTGTAACCCCCAAAGTCCATGCAATTTTTTTCCATGTTAAAGATTTTTGTTTGGAAAATACAGAGGATTAGCTTATTATAGCGAACAAGCTACATACCCTCTTCAATGGGTCCCTGTGCCCTTAGGAAGCACTTCCGGACCCATGTTCATATGAACTTTTTTACTTAGTTTTGATCATAGAATCGGCCTGTTCAGGGTTGGCAGCTAATTATGAAACACCCTGTATATACAGGGTGTTTTTGAATGGAGTAGCATAAATGATACCAGTGAATCTACATTTCAAAAGAACACGATCTGCAAAAAATCGCGTTGGTAAAATGTTCACCCCTGAAGAGATATGGGCCATCAAAGTTTCCAAAAAAATTATGAGAATTGACTGAAATTTGAAAACCGAACGAGGTACAAATAACAAATTTTTTACAGGTTGTTTACTAATACAGATGCGAGTTTTCAACTATTTTTCGAAAATTTTAACCC